ATCATAGGAGACTCTTAGACTGAAGTGAACTGGTTAAAAGAAGACAACTCAAGACTTATGGAGCTACAACAATGAAAAGAGGAAATACAAATGGTTGACCAAAGACATGGAAGTTGGATGCACATGGATAAAGAGAAGTTCAAATTCTTTTGCAGATGGTTTAGCTAGACAAGGGGTGAATAGGAGTTCTGTATTTTGGGCTCAGTTGTAATTGCTTTTGTATTTTGGGTGTTTAGTGTCAATTGTGGGGAGTTAAGATATTTTAGCCCCCCTTCTATGCAATTTCACTCCTCAATTATTTAATGAAATCTCTGCTATTGATAAAAAAGAAGTCAATTATCAAAATGGGTTAGGGAACACCTCATTTAGGGTCCGTTTGATTCATTGGAATGGGGTTTGGAATTGGAATTTGAATGGTCCATTTTGATTCCAACCATTTGGTTGGGCAGAATTGGAAGTGAGCATCATCTCCCCCTCCCTTGGAAATGAGAATCCATTCCAGCTGACTCTGATTCCCCATCTGAACCAAATAGGCGGGACGAATAGACCGTTCCAATTCAGATTCCAATGGATTTCGGTTCCGATTGGAATCTGATTTAGGGACGAATAGACCATTCCAATTCAGATTCCAATGGATTTTGGACCCTTATTTTATTAGGGTGGCCTAAAAGTAGATAAAATCATAAAAGGACAGAATTATCCCTGCACACATAACAAGACAATTTACAAGTTACAATACTCTTCCTCAAATTGGGTGACTGGGTCATAAATGCCTATCATTCCCAACTTGTTAGATAACTTTCTATGGTACAGGACATTTGCACCTTTTGTAAATGTATCAGCTAATTGCTCCTTATAATTTAGATGCAGTGTGTACACTTCACTCATATCAGGTTTCTCCCTTATGAAATGCTTATCTACCTAAATATGTTTGGTTCTGTCATGAAACACTGGATTAACAGCTAAATTGATAGCTGCCTCATTATCAACAGTAAACCCATCTTTCCATGACATGGGACTAACTACTTGCTTCTCCAAGTGACTAGGTTACCTTCCACAAGAGTGCAGTAGCCGGTTGTAGTTCTTCTGTCATCCATAGATTTTGCCCAATCAGCATCAGTTTACACTATGATCGGTAAACGGAATACCCTGACCAGGATGCCTTTTTAAATACCTAAGTGTGTTTTCTGCAGCTATAAGATGATATGGTTAGAGGAATACATATGATGACTTAGAACCCCCCACAATGTAAGCAATGTCAGGCCTCATCATAGATGGATACGACAACCTTTACACCAGCCTCCCAAACTGTCTAACATCTGGAATAGTTTTTCCTTCAGTTTCTCCCAATCTATGATTCTTCTCAATAGGAAACAAGGCATCTTACAAGTCAAATCTTTTATCTTAACCATAAAAAAAATGATGAACAACAATGGTATCTCTAGATGTCATGTCAAAGGAGCAGAAATGAGAATGGCATGATGAATGACAAAGACGCCTTTAGGTGTGGTTGTTGAGGATTGTGGAAAGGTTATAGACAGAGTATAGTTAAGGGCTTGCTTAGTTTGTAGATTCATCGGGTTAGGTCCTGATGTTAGCTATGTTGCAAATGAGCTTCAATTGAATGGAGATAGCTTGGTTTCAATAAAGTAGAAGGTGAAATGCAGGCTTTTTCCTATTAGTGTGCAAAATAAGGATGGAGCAGAAGTGTTGTAGGGAGATGGGAAGCTCACATTACCACCCAGAACTGCGCTTAGGTAGATGATCTCCAATGATTGGTCAGGTGATGTATACCAGGATAGAAGTTGTGTTTTTTTTTTTTTTTGAGAGAGAGAAAGGTAAAGTAATATATTATACAAAGAATAAAACCATATCTGCTCAACAAGGATAAGTGCAGTGCCCAATCAAGAACTCTACATCTTCTAAATTGTATACCCTGTGTGCATAGATACAAAAATAGCTCCATAAATACAAAAAGAGCTATATGGCCTATTCCTGAATCGTCTGTGTTCCTACCGATGAGTACATCCTACCACAAAATCCTTTACATAAATTTTCCTTTGTAACAAACTTATTTTCAAACAGCCTTTTGTTTCTTTCCATCCATATCGTCCAAACCACTATAGCTGGTCCTACTCCCCAAATAACCTTGCCTTCTATAGAAAGACCTTTCATTTGCAAGCTCTGCTACACTGCTAGTGGATTTTCTGGGAAACAGATGTGAGCTTCAAACAGACCCAAAACTTTGCCCAAAGGATTCAAGCAACTCTACTGTGGATCAATAGGTGATCTGAATCTTCAGAAGCTTCCCCACACATTATGCACTTGCTAGGCAGCACACTCAGCCCTCTCCTAGCCAAAACCTCTGCTGTCAAAAACTTGCCCAACACTGCCAGTCTGCCGCCCATAATAAAAAAACAGCTTTTGGAGGGGCTGCAGTATTCCACACTACAGCTTCTGGGAAATCCACCATCTTTGCCTCTATGAGCTTATTATAGAAGGATCTCCCTGTGAAAATTCCTTTTTTATCCCACTTCCAAATTCTCTTATTCCTACTCATGAAGCCTGGAGTTATGCCAGATAGCTGCTGCATCAGCTCCATCCACTGCTCAATCTCTCAGTCATTTAGATTCCTTCTAATCACTGGACACCAAACTGCTGTATCTCCTACCCAAGAGAAAGCCTCAGTCCAGAATTTGTTTCTTTAACCATCACCCACTGTGTACCTGATTCCTTTTCTGAACTCCACAAGAGCGTTTTGAATTCCTTTCCACACGGCACACCCATAAGACATTCTTCACTCTGCTGGCCCCCAGCTTGAATTACCTGCATCATATTTAATTAGAATAATCCTTCTCCATAAAGCATTAGGTTGTTCGTTCTACCTCCGAAGCCACTAGGCATGACAAGCTACATTGAACTTTCTTAGCTTCCTCACCCCCAAGCCCCCTGCTTTCTTTGGACTACATACTTTGTTTCACTTGACCAGATGCTGTTTAAATTCATTCTTTCATTCTTCCATCCTTCTCAATCATCTTAGACACTCTGGCTGGAGTGAGGACCAGGATATATATTTTGTCTGGATCAATATCTTTAGAATTCCTCTTCATTCATGGTGTACCCAGACTTTTAGGGTGATGGGTAGTGCATGTGGTAAATTTAAAAGTTATTGTTTTCATAGCAGATGGGAATAGTTACAGTATGCTCGTTTGTTGGTGGAGACAAAGGATGTGCAGTCTATTCCTTCGCATATTGACTTGTTATTTGCAGGTATGATATTCAAACTACGAATTGTGATAGAAGGTGAAGATCCAATATTCCAACTTTGGGTTGTGGTGTGCCTTCCATGGTGTTGAGAGGCTTTGGTGGAAGTGAAGGGAGAGTATGTTCAGAGAAGCTGGACAGTCATAAAGGAGGGAAGTGGAGAAGAGGGAGCATCGAAAAAGGACAATGACACAGTGATAATTATAGAAGAGGGGGTGATGGTGACAGGTGGGCCTACATATTGCTCGGGAGTTGATAAGTAAGAGCATCTTGAAACATCATCACAAGTTATGAACAAGAAATTAAAGGTTTTGAGCCTGGGAACTGAAGGGCTTTATTTCAGATACTGGGCTGAGTAACTGGTGGGTTCACAAGGTCCCTCCTTTTAAAGAAAACCAAAATAGGAAGCTTCCCCCAAATTTAGACCGAGAAGTTGGTTTGATGCTGAACCTTAAAGGTGATAGGGACCGGGTTGTTAGGGGGTGGATGCAATTTCATCATTGGGACTTGATTGTGTCCTGTTCAATTTAGGGGGGATGGATGTTTCTATTCTTTTGTTGGCTGCTTTTGTTGTGGTTTTAAGGGGGTTGAGGCTGGTTTTTGGAGGGGAAGATTGCTTCTTTTTCTTTCAGGTGATTGCTGATCACCTTCCCTTGTACTCTTCTTTTTTCTAATACAAATTTTCTTTTATTACCAATTATCTTTTATCTTTCCTCTTTATAGTTTCTATAAGAATGGATTAGATTTAATGCTTACCTTTCTGTCAACACACTGTCTACAGCAAGTCTATTTTGGGACTGGAGGAACTATGGGGGATGAAGAAGGAAATATCAGATTAAGTTATTCATGATGAGTGGGTACTCAATTCCTTGAGTGATAAGTTACTAGCACCATTGCAGGGATTAAAATTAGCTGCTGAGAACAGGTTAAGCTACTTACTGATTGAGGGAGACTTCAGGTCGTCATTTCATGGCTAAAACAGGGTAGGATGTCCCATAGGTGTCAGATTTATTGTTAGAGAGATCATGTCTTTGAGAGAACTGAACTGCTTATTCAGCTGGGTCCTAAGTTGTAATGTTACTGCTGACAGTTTAGCCAAATCAGAAGCTTCTTGTTCTGATTTAGTTTGGGGCTGTCTGTCTGGGACCAGGGTCATTATTGTAATCAGTCTCATAAATTTTTTTATCAGTAAAAAATTTCATTAAGAATTCATGAATTTAGTACAGTCATTAAAGGAATTTCCCACCCCACATTACACCATACTACAACTTTGCCCAAAACAATAGAGGCCTGTCAACTCCCTGTTTTTCTAATACACCTGCCATCCCATTGGCAGTCTTTACCCAGCTGGAAGTAGAATTAAGCCTCTTTGCTAGGGTGTTGATTTCTCTGAAGGCATGTTTTGTACATTAGTCTGATTCTTGTGATTGGCATATTCCATATCAGATTACCATTACTCTTATTGAATATTCCATGTCAGATTATGTCAGCTTAAAGCTGTTTTTTACATTAGTCAGACTCTTGTGATTGGCATTTTTTTCTTGACGAGGAATGAAATTCGGAATCATTAATTATCAAAAAAATGTTAACTTTAATATCTGTAATATTGATCAAGAAAAATTGTTATAAAATCAATCCTTAATTAGCATTTTTCTTCCAGTTTTTGGCATTCTTAGGAATTTTTTTCATCTTCTTACTGTCATGCTATTAAAAAGTGATCAACTCCACCATAACAGCTCAAAATCACTCTAAGAAAGGAGGACAATGTTCCAGAGAAGGCACAATATAGTGAATACTTCTATGCTGGTGGGTTGGTGGAATATGTCAAATGGCTAAATTCTGATAAGGTATGCTTATGGGATCCTATCCTTTTTGCAAAACCATTCTTGCATAGCTCTTCCATTTTTTTTTTACATTCCCCCTTTTACTAATGTTCTGTTTGGATGAATTTTTTTAACTATTCATTTTTCCTCTAAATATTATAGCACTTAAATTGACTTCAAAAATGGTTGGCAATTGTTGCACCCATTTTGTTTTCTTAAACAGAACTAGAAAATTAATACTTGAAAAAATGAAAAAAGTAAATGTTCATCTTTCTTTATTTTTGGGGACTTGATGCACACGTTGGGCTTGCATTCCTATCATCTAACTTGTGCTTATGAACAACAACATCATAACCCTGAGTCATGTTGGGTGCCATTGCCAGGAGGTGAGGATAATGACATGGCTTCAAGGTCTGGTACTCTAGTTTACATTTTAATAGTTTATATTCAAGATACACATTACAATCAACAATTCCAGGAGTCTAAAGCATGCAGATATCATGCGGTAACTTTACTAATATTACATGAAACAGTGTTTGAGCTTCCAATCTACTAAAAATTCCTTAAAAGACGCATCGAATTGGTGTTATTTCAATGAGTTTAATAGATCATTAATAGATCAATCTTATGGTTTTCTCTTACCAAGAAATAATTTAGAATATATAAAATAAATTATTTTTTTTCCTAAAAAATTAAGAAATTCACTTTTAACTAAAATTATTCTTATTTCAATGGGTTTAATAGATCATTGATGGATCCAAATTCTTGCAATGAAAAGATTATTTTTTATAATTTTCAGACGTTTAGCGGTGGTTATGACTGCCACTACAACTTTTATCAGCAGTGCTGCTATAGGTCCTCATTGGCATCATGCTGTTCCACTTGGGCCACGCGGGTTCTTCATAATAATTATGACCCATCCCTTTAGCCAATTTAGCTYTTAATACAGGATCATTCAAGTCAGGTTTCTTTGTTATTGGGATAGGTGAATTTTTATGGATCCATCCCCCGAAGGCACCGGACATGATAATTTTTCATCATCCGGCTCGTGCCACGTGTCCATGCATTCAGATACTGATATGATACACCCTGTATCAGGCGTATCATGTTGATATTTTGATCCTTGGTCACCACTTTTATGAAACCGGTTGATTGGTTATCAGTTTTTTGAGGTATCATTTCCTTTCCAGTATCATAGACTGATAGTTGGGCTCTTATTTCTTATAATTCTTGGAATTTTGAAATTTCACCACCTTATAACCTTTCAAAATGGAGGGCCAAAAAACTAATTCAGATAATTCTGCCCTGTAACCGGTTCAAAAGGGGAAATTAGATCCAACAGTTATTTTCTTTCCAAAGGCACCAAACTGATGATGGTAGCTGATTCCACAAAATTTTGCCCTGTGGGTTGATTCCCCAGTTCTCCCTAACTGGATTTGCTCTAACTGGCATTGTGAAGTCTTGGAAATGACCAACAGCCTGCCCAAGAGGTTAATGCAGTAGGCCTATATTATGTAAGAGGAGTTGCAGTGCAGCAATCAAATTACCATTATTGGTTAAAAGAAAAAGATCTTACTGCCATTATCAAATTTATTTTGGTAGTAGTCAATTCTATGGCTTATTAATGTGATACATGTTTTTATTGACTGTGCTTTGTTTATCTATTCTTTTTTGCATATGCTCCAACTAATTTATTTGTCACAAGATTTGAATATTCCAGCAAGTTTTTTAACATCCAGAGTGTTCAATTTAATCTGAACTTTTTTTAGCCTTTTCTGATGGTGTAACGGCTGTTTTTTTAAATCCAGAATCCACTTCATGATACTGTTAGCTTCAGAAAAGAGGTAGATGGAACCACAATTGATGTAGCCCTTCAGTGGTAATTATTTGGATCTACAGTTTTGTTATATATTTATGAAATCTAAACTTTCTACATTCCTCTTTGCAATGAGAATATTGTTTGTGTTTCATATATCTATGTAATTACTTTGGTAGCTATTTTTTATGCAACTTATATTCTTCTTGGGACATCAGTAACACTGCATATTTTTTGATAATTAAAAAAAGTTAAATTAAAATTGTAAGAAGTAAGATGTAAGCTTTATGCACGCTCTGTGGTCCAAGGAAAATATAACCATTCCAATAAAAGCCGCAAAGCACTCACACCCAAGGGGTTAAGAAATAAGTACCACATGAAATAACCATACCCTTCTTGCACTTAAAACCACAAATGTAATCCAAGTCCAAGCAGAAAGCCAAAGACCTAAAAGAAAAGAAAACACCAAGTCATCAACACTTTGACAGTAAGGCACTGGTGGCCTTGGATAACACATAATGTTTTTGTTTGCATTTGTCTCTGACAGTTTCTGATTTCTCAAATTCAATACCATCAATTGTCATATCATGCCATGTGTGCCCTCTTCAATATATCGTTGCCTGAATGGGTTGAATCTCGTAGCCATGGTTTAAAATGTCAGGAAGTATTGGAAATATTGGCTGACATATGTTGGTGTCGAGACCAACCAATAGAGAATTTAAGATGAATAAAAGATGCATTTTGTCAGTCGACATTTTATCTATTTCGATCAAATGTCTACGAATTTGTCTTAATACCACATGCGCACAGTGCACATACACAAAAAAAAAAAACTGTAAACTACCTATTATATTGAACTAGATCTCAGCATATTCTAGGTAATTACAAAATTGAAAAGAAATAAAATAATCAAACTTAAAATAAAGAAAGAAGAGAATAATATCTTGGGTAGTAGACGAGATTATAGTAAGGAAAAGAGAAGTAGGGTTTCTATTTAAATACCTGGACGGATGAAAGTGTAAAGTTTAGGGCTTTATATATAGATATCAGTGAGTGAATTGATGCATTGATTGTCTTCTTTTTCCTTCTTAATCAGGTGCTCAGATGCATATTCAGATACAATGTTGGGATATGCGAACAGCATAAGAACAACTGATGGTGGTACTCATATTGATGGTATAAAGGCTTCGATAACAAGAACTCTCAATAGCTTAGGAAAGAAGTCAAAGATTATCAAGGTGTTCCCTTCACTCATATTCAGTAGTTATTTGCACAGATTTTGAAATCTTTATTTCTATGTATTCAATGAAATCATTTGTTACCTATAAAAAAGGTATTAAATGATTCCTGCGGGTTTGCATGGGTTCCTTTTCCTGGTATTTGAACATATGACTACCTAGCCATAAAATTGGAGTTAATATGAGCTCATTTTATTGTCCTCAGGTGGTGCGACCATGTTTTCCCAAGCAAGTAAAGATTTATAAACTACTCTATAGCAGTTGACTATAGAAAGAATAAGACAAAATTTGGAGACTGTCAACCACCTGTTCCTACATTGTAAATTTGGAGATTGTCATCCACCTGTTCCTACTTCTTAACTAAGAAGTTTTTTCAATGTCCAAGTACTGACATTGATCTAAGGACATTGTTCAAGTTTATGTTAAAACCTAAAATTTTTCTCATTTTAGCAGTTTTCATGCTTTTGGGTAAACCATCTCTGAAATCCCCCATATTTGGTCATCCCCTATGAATCTTTATCAAAATTCATCTCAAAAACCATAGTTTTAAGAATTTTGGTACTTACTCCTATAAAGGACTTTTTTCTTCTTTTTTGTCAATATCCTTGTCATTATGCCTTCAAATTTAGTTACCCCACACAATATATTGTCTTAAATATATCTACAAATTATCAATTCTATCTTTAAAAATTTAGTTTGGATTTTTTATTTTTCCATGGTCCCAAGGAACTTTACAAATTTCCATGATTTCACCTAGAACCTTTCCTTTGCCAACCCATTCTTTTTTTTTATGAATATTGCCAACCCATTCTTAAGCATAGCCATTGCCACGTCGGAACCGCATGAGTTCACCGGGGTGGAGCACGGTCCGCCAAAATCGGCAAAGGTTAGGTGCTATTGATGGAACATGGTAAGCCCATCTTTCTCCATATGGAAGTGCTGCGGGCACATAGAGATGTGGGTAGAGGAAGCCTCAAAAAGTGAAGGCCGAGCTGTAGGTCATGTGACCTGCACCGGTAAGGTGGCTGACTGGGTTTTCTCCTTGATCAAAGCAGATCAGCTCGCCCCATTGGTCGGTCGAATCGGGCGGGCCCCTGCCCCGGAACGTYGAATGAAATAGGTGGCCCTGTCTTTAATGCAACCTTTTTGATATGATAGGCCCGATCCCTTCCCCCTATCCCCCCTAAATCCTATTCTTGCCAGTTAATATCTTGGTCTTGGAAGGGGTTTAAGGGATGGCGAGCTTGATGAGGTTTACAATTGTTTGGCTTACTTTGTACATAGTTTGTATGTGTATTTCTAAACCTGATAGAAGGATTTGAGTTCTACATTCCAAAAGCTCATTTTATTCTGCTTCTTTCTTCAATTCTTTTTGTTCCTCAGTCCTATTCTAGCCAGTTAATATCTTGGTCTTGGAAGGGGCATAAGGGATGGCGAGCTTGATGAGGTTTACAATTGTTTGGCATACTTTGGACATAGTTTGTATGGGTCCTTCTAAACCTGATAGAAGGATTTGAGTTCTACATTCCAAAAGCTCATTTTTAGCTGCTTCTTTCTTCAATGCTTTTTGTTCCTCTCCTCAACCCCTGTTTTTCCCATTTATTGAAATCTGGTGTAGGCCTATCCCCCCTAAGTCAGTGATTTTTGTTGGGATGTTTACTATGGGAAGTTAAATACTGTGGATAACCTTCAAAAAAGAAGACCTTCCTTTGTGTATCCCCGAACTGGTACATCCGTTGCAAATCTAACAGTGAGAGTTGTTACCACCTCTTGATCTCCTGCCCTTTTGTTGTAGGCATTTGGGAATGGTCTTTTTCCTTGTTTTGGTGTAGGTTAAACTTGTTAATGGAGATCAACAATCTATTTAACCCGAACACTTTTGTATGACAAAGGAAAAGAGTTTGTTGGTGTTTGGATAATGTGTAGTTTTACACCGAAAATTGATGTAAACTCCACTCACGGTAGAGTTTTACATCGATTATTGATGTAATTACAACATTGATAAAATTGGTGTAAATATTTACATCGATAATTACACTTTTTAAAGTTACAACGGTTCACTCATTTAAACCTATTGGTATTGAACTCCATCGATGTACTATTACATCAATAAATATTTGCACTGAAAACAAATGCAGACTTAAGTGATTTATAAAACATTATTTTGAAGACTCTTCATGATCTTTGTATAGATAATTCTCCAAAGTAAATAGTTGGTGATCTGGCATCTTATATTTATTGCATTTATGAATTTCTAATTATTTTTTCAATAGAATTTATTAATTCCAATGGACAAAAAACCATTGGAATAATTTTTCCCCTGGGCTTATGGCACCTTTACATCAAAATAATTACAGAATTCATTAGCGTGATGCTATGATACCTGGATACTTGTATAAGGGTGCCGTATCGTGTTGGATACTTCAGTTTTTAGTGTAAATTTCATATCCAATACTGTGTCCTTTCTGTATGTGTATAGCTGTGATTCAACAAAGCTACTTAACTCAAATGAAATATGCATTTTTCTTCTTTTAATCAGTAAATGTAAAGTTTTCTTCTTTTCTATGTTGCATCGAAATACATATTAAAGGGTCAAGTATTAATGTTGCTCTGTGTGTCAACAAAATACATATTAAAGTGTGTCTGTTTTTGTAATACTTGGTTTGCTGCATTCCAGGAAAAGGAAATTAGTTTAAGTGGTGAACATGTAAGGGAAGGATTGACATGTATTATCTCAGTCAAGGTTCCAAATCCAGAATTTGAAGGACAAACAAAGGTGCTGGCATTCTGATGTTATTTCCATGAATTAATCTCTATAGGGTCAAGAAAAGTCAATATAGGGTCTTCTCTCATTTCCTCAATTCTCAAGTGCTCATTCTTATTTAGTGGATATTCTGTTTCATTATTTGAAAGACAAGATTGGGAAACCCAGAAGTGCGAAAGGTGGTTGATCAATCGGTGCAAGAGTATCTTACAGAGTATTTGGAACTGCATCCTGATGTCCTTGATTCAATTCTTTCCAAATCACTGAATGCTTTCAAGGTATCCTTGTTGAAATGCTTGCTCCTTTTTAGTGTCATGTTTATGTTGGTTTTTGAAAGAAAACTATGAAAGCTAACCGCTTGTTATTCATTTAAAAAATATTTAAGCCTAATATTTAATAAAATGCTCTCTTTAGTCAGTTAGTGGCCCATCTTCACTCTTATTAATTTATTGTAAGATTTGGATATTTGTTATATACTGTTTTTTTTTTTTTAATTTAGGCAGCTCTGGCCGCAAAGCGGGCAAGGGAGTTGGTGAGGCAAAAGAGTGTCCTGAAATCGTCTTCTCTTCCTGGAAAGCTAGCTGATTGCTCAGCTACAAATCCTGAGGAATCTGGTATCTTCTATTTGCTTATTGTTTTTTAATTCTTGTTTTGAACTTCATGGTTTGCATCACTTGTAATGCATAATACTTATTACAAGTTAACTGCTCTATTATCTTTCTTTACACTAATATGCACTTTACCTCAATTTGGAAGTATGGCCATGGCATTCAGTTGGATTAATGTTTTGCAAAACTATTATCTTCTTTACTTATTAGAGATAAACAAAATCAAATAGTTAGCAATTGAGAGAAGAGGTGAAGATTAAAGACTAAAAGAACACAACTACCAATGGAGAGAAGAAGAAATACATTACTAAGAAAGGAGATAATAGTTACACCACAATGGCTGTATTTGGATTGTGGGAGTGAAACTGGATTTGAATTCCATTCCTTCTTGATTCCTTCGAATTGTATTGATTGCCTCCCAGACATCATTTCAAATTCCATTTGAGGCCAAGATAGAAATATGCCTTTGTAACCTGTGTGTAGCCTGATTTTACATCATCTCGATCTCATGTACTCTGTTTTCTCAATCAAGTTAACCTCTTTTCTGAAAAATTCCATTTGAGGCCTAGGATTTGTTTATTTTTTCTTTCCACAAATTCTTCTTTTTTGGTGAACAGGACCCATAATGCAAACTTTGGTGTTATGGTTAATTTGCAATTGTTATTCGTCTCTGATCCAAATGCGGCATATTTGTTGAATCTTCTTAGATCTACATTTTTCTAGCTCATTTACCAAGAAGTTTCTGGATCATAGCGTAGTTTTTACAAATTATTCTAAGGTTCAATGATGTAGGACTTATAAGACATTATGGGTTGAGTTAGTGAGACTCCACCTCTTAGGTTGTGATTACCTGCACAATTGAGGGATCTGAGGGACCTTGGGGTTAGAGACACTGCTAGGTTGGTTAGATTCTTAGCTCTACAGAGAACTCATTAAAAATGATTGTGTGGTATGCCAGTTTGATGATAGATGGTATCAACTAGGGAAGCACAGGGTTTTCTTTGAGAGTTTTTCTTTTCAAGGGACCTTGTATCTCACTTCCATGTTTTTAACAATTGTGTTTAACATTTCAAATTCTTTATAGTATGATTTGTTAATATGTATTGCATTTATATACTTCTGAAGGGTCAGTGCTGTAAATTAAACTTTAAGAGTGTCCATGTAGTATCTGGTGTCACATTGAACACATGTAATTGGGAATGAAGGGAATAATCCGATATTTACACAAGAATCCTCTTATCTGATCCATAATTAGGAATGCAAGATGGCTATCTTGGAAATTTTATTAGCCCCATTCTGGGTTTCATTTTCTATTGATCAAGTTCCATCCTCTTTCTTGAGCATGGGCCTGCCAGCATTCCAAGAAGGGGTAGATCACCATTTAGATATGGGACCCGTGATGTTATTAGGAATTCTTGTATCCCACTCTTCAAGGTGGAACAAGGAATTCCATTTGCCCTTGTTGTTTTTGAATGTGCAAAAGTAGTTTATCGATTTCTTGTTTTAATTTTGGGAGTGTAGTGTGGTTTTTTTGTTGGGGTAAGGTTGACCAAGGCGGGAGGAGGGATCCCTAGAGTTCTTTGGTTGTTGATTTTCTAGAATTCAAGTTATTTTTGTAAGGGCTATATATTTGTATTATGACATGGAAATAGATATTTTTAGGATGGAGACAAATTTAATATTTCAGTTATTTTTGGTTAATGCCTTGGTATTTCAATTTGATAAATGTAGTTATTACTTTCAAACTTCTGCAGAAATATTTATAGTTGAAGGTGATTCAGCTGGTGGTAGTGCAAAACAAGGTCGTGATAGACGCTTTCAGGTAATATTTTTATTCTTATTCTAGGCAGTTAAGCATTTTTTTTCAAGGTTTTTGGTCCGAGCTGGACTTGGTGAGCGGAACCAGGACTTGTATCTATGTTTTATTTGGGTTGTGTGAGTTGATACAAAAGATCAACTCTGAGATTCTCATACATGATGACCAGGAGGGTCCTTGGTCATTGTGCCATCACCTCAGAGGGCTTAGATCCTTGCCATCCAGAGTGAATAGCACATTCAGATGAGTCCAAATTCATATTTCTTTCTTTCTGTAGCCTTACTAGTGGATGCTGGGCAGGAGTCAGCTATCATATTAGATGTCTGCCCTCTGGGATACTTCATAGTTGTTGTCTTTGTATTATGTTTCTTCATCTTTTCAATTGTGATATCTTATGAGGTGTTTGGCCCTCATGTATAACTTACAGCCATTTTCGTTTCTATTTTTCCTATTAAAGAAGTTACTCAGTATTTGATAAAGGGTTATCCAAATTCCTCTATACTCTAGATTCATGCAAGACCTGTTTTTCTTCATTTTTAATACCTTCTTTTTTCTGTGACTTACTGATTTTGAAACATCTAATCTATATGAAAAAGAAATTTTCTTATTTCTGATATGACTTAGCATGCCTTTTCTGGTGTAGGCTGTTCTGCCCTTAAGGGGTAAAATTTTGAACATTGAAAGGAAGGATGAGGCAGCTATGTACAAAAATGAAGAGATTCAGAATCTTATTCTTGGTCTTGGGCTTGGTGTGAAGGTGCTGCTATTTCATGTTCTCTTGTTAGTTGAACCTGACTTATTTCACTAACTTGGGTTTATCCTTGATTTAGGGAGAAGATTTTAAAAAGGATGCCCTCCGTTACCACAAGATCATCATCCTAACAGATGCTGACGTGGATGGGGCTCATATCCGCACTCTTCTATTGACATTTTTCTTTAGATATCAGGTATATGGTGGAGATTCATTACTTTTTCATCAGTTAATGTGTTCATTAGGTATCATCTGAATGACTTTGTTTCATCTTTCAATACAGAAAGCACTATTTGAAGAAGGTTGTATTTATGTGGGTGTTCCACCCCTCTATAAGGTATGCCCTCAATTCTTGGTTCAAGTGAAAATTTTCATTTTTATTATCTAACTATGTTGTTATTACTGTAACCATCAGGTTGAACGGGGTAAGCAAGCACACTATTGCTATGATGATGCAGAGCTTAAACGTCTTCAGAATAGTTTCCCTTCAAATGCATCATACAACATCCAGAGGTTCAAAGGTAAGACTAAAAGTAAACAGTTATTTTTGGGAATTATCAGCCTGAATTTTAATGCATGTGACAATTAGCATCTCTGATGTATATTTGTTGTTTATTGATAATATAGGATGGGTAGGGGTCCTAAAACTTTCAGATCTGGTTGTGGGCTTTGTAGGGTGAAGAAAGGTGATTTGGATGATTAAGGATGGACAATATAGGTAGAGAAGTACATAGACAGCTTACCGTCTATCAAATAATTAGCAAGAAATGAGAAAAAGAGAAGTCTTGCTGTTAAGAGTAAACAGTAAGATAGATTGCTTTGAAGAAGAATTAAATGAGGGATACTCGGCTACAACCAAAATGTCACTAAATCAAACTTTTATTCGTCATTTCAAATCTTTTTTCAACTACAATGACATTATTTATAGACTCACCATAAGAACTTGGATCTCCCTTTATAGACTCCAAGTTCGTGTAAGAAACCAACCCAAAACAACTTTTAATCATGGTTTGCAATTTTGATATCAATGGACATTTGGCCATGTGGAGATGGGGAAATTCTGAGGATACTTGCCTATTGTTGCTAACAGGATTCAAAGTATCAGTGTTGTGTATTGTATCGGTAAGTTTGGATATGGATACATATTGCGCTATGCTTTGGATACACATGGATATGGTGCAAAGAAATGGATACACTTGAATATGTAGGGGAAACTCTTTCAAATCCCGCAAATACATCAATAATAATAATTCTAAAGTTGAAATAACTATGAATAAGGTATAAACACATAAGAAATGTAAACTTTCAGAGTTTATATGAAGAGATACATTACAATCAACAATACTGGGAATATAGAAGTTTAAGCTTCCAATGTACTAAAAGCTCACTACAAAACAGATTAAATTGTTGTAAAATCAATGAATTTGATAGATCATTAATAAATCCATTTATAATCCTTTCCTGCAATGAAAACTATTTATAGGTAAAGGGATGAACTGAAATAAAAGTGGAAGAATGACCAACCTCCTTTCTTTTGAATGTTTTTCCCCCTGAAGAGGTCTCCCAAGAATAGACCTGCTCATGGGCTGAGCTTCAGGCTCAGCTTTACACTATTTTGGGCTCAGGTTTCGAGCTGGGCCGATTCAAATTTTGGCAAAAGCTAAGCCTGAGCCTGGCCCATGAACATGTCTACCCAAGAAGTAAAGAAAAGAGAGGCTTAAAGGAGATGCCCATGCAAACAAACTTCTTATGAGGCACCTTTTCTAATTCTCTTTCAATTTCTATGAGAAAAACACAGCATCAGTTGTAGTTTATGATAGACTAGGGGATTTTTCCCATTCGCTCGTTCTTTTTCCCTTCTCTGTAATCAACTAATCACTCCTCTTTTTCTATGGCCAACCCCAGTGCTCTAGCTTTTCTTTGCACCTTGACAAAGGAGTTAGTTGTTGCAGGGATATGTACTTATCATTACATGTTTGATATTTAAAATTTTATCCCACCATTTTCAAAGACAACATTGTTGGGGAAAAGTACAAGACCGTTGTGCTGTAAAACGTCATCCAACTCATTTCTTCTTTCTGAAATATTTTGCTTCCATTTCTTACTTTCTTTTTCCTGTAATTCTCTAGCCTTGGGTCTTGCATTGATGTAAGATGCACCATTTGTGGTTTGCGAAATACTTGTACCCTAACCACAATAACCAGAGAAAATAGTAGTTTGTAGTGGTGGCAGTAGTGATGATGGGGAAAATGTACTTGTCTAGTTTCCACCCCACTGCGATCCTACCTACGCTAAAAAAAAAGTATAAGAGAATATAAATGACTTGCTGCAATATCATGAAGGACTCATCCCACATAAATTAAAAGAACTTAGTGTCATTCTCATCAAAACAGTATGCTACCTCATCAATTCAGACCATCAATCTTGAGTTGTCATGGTTGTCATTATTTCAGGCTATTAAGGAAAAATAGGATAAACGTGATAAATTCTTTTACTTGATGAAGATGGTCTTACTTTTATTATTGCAAACAAAGTGAATCAGTGCAATCTTTTGTTAGAAGTGTCATATTGAATTTTAGATAGCTCTGAAGTAACGTGCTTTTTTATTGGTTTTCATAATGTGCTTTGGTAGGTTGTTAAAATTTTGCAGCTTAGCAAGTTGTATTGTTAAAATTATTCAGTTTGGATTTAGGTAGGACTAGTATTACAAGCTAAACTATTGTTTTTGTTGTCTAAAAAGACACGTATGCACTTGTGTATATGCATGTACATATATATGTATATCTCAATCTTACACCCACCTGTCTTTGTAAAGGCTTAGGAGAGATGATGCCTGCACAATTATGGGAAACAACATTGGATCCAGAGAAGAGGCTTCTGAAACAATTAGTAGTTGAGGATGCTGCTGAAGCAAATGTGGTTTTCTCCTCCCTCATGGGCTCCCGTGTAAGTGTTTTTGCTCTTTTTTTAATGTGTCTTGGTAGTCTAACAAATCATTGATACCAGGTGACTTTTCCACCATTTTTATAGCCAATGCCCATGATTTCTTTCAGGTTGACGTTCGGAAGGAACTCATACAGCAGTCTGCAAAGATGGTTGACGTGGATCAACTGGATATATAGGCATTTATTCGAGACCAGGTTTAAGAATTCCACCATGTATACAGTTCAAAAGAATGGTGAAATAGAAACCTCTGGTTTGTTTTTCATTTCTCAAGGCAGAGGCTTTCATTGGTGTATTAACGGTTTTTTCATTTTTTTTTTCATTTTTCTTTTGCAAATTAATGTCTGGTGCTATTACAAGGCACCTGATAATTCATTTAGTGAAATAGGTCTATTGGGCTCATTGAATCATGATGTAGTGAAAGAAAATTGCATCCTTTCCAGGTGTTTGTCAAATGACATTAGAACTTGATGCATCTTTTCCAAGGAATGGTGTCTATTCTCTCTTTTGCTCAATGTAAAATTCCTACTAATCACCTTTATTCATGTGAAATTGAGAGCCACGCGCTTTACAATTTTTTTCATGTGTTTGGTACCATTGCTATTTCTGCCTAAAACGTTTTGGATTCATAAATACAAAATGGTTCTCACTTGTCATATCACATATGAGAGTCGCTTCTGTCAGAATGATTATATATCTATATAGCACCCCCTGGCCAAGTTTGCAAAGATTGAATGATACATATTGATTTTTGACATAGTTTATGAGTCACTTATAGCGCTTAAAGAATATTAACTGTTATATCAGATTTATTTATAAATTTTATGGGAAAAACAAATAAGTACGTAAAATTTTCCTATCTCATACTTGCCTGGGGCAAGAATATTTCAGTATGATGTTTCTACAAGTAGCCATTCACATGCATTTTTAGGGTATCTCTTTCAATTATGAACAGCCTCAAATAATGGTTGTATGTCAATTGGCCTTAAAGAAAAAAAGTTGTCAATTTATTTTGATAAACCAAAACATCAGGTAGAAATAATATCATTCGACACTTTGAGCCTTGCTTATTGTAGAAAATGATTGATTTGTTTTGTTCAACGTTTTCGAACTGCCATTGACCCGGACAGTTGGACCATTCGGCCTGGGAACCGTCCAGGCAATCGGTTTCGTTTTATCCCAAACCTGGAATTTGGTCAAAAACTGTTGAATAAGTCAAATAAACCGTTGACCCAGGCCACCAATCCGTTGATCTATTCAATGGTTTTTTATTGTTTTTTTATTTTTTAATTATCTTTTAATGTTTTTAATTTTGCTGTCAGAACAGGCCATTTGTTCGAATCGGATGGTCGGACTGTTGACTCGGAAACTGATGCCCAAAACGGTTCCATTTCCTGGTCGTTTTTTAAAATGTTGATTTTGTTTGTATAGACCCATGAAACTAAAAGAAAAAAGATTTTTTTAAACAAAAAAAAAATCACATTAGCAAAAGCAATTGTTTCTGTTTAAAAAATAAAAAACTGAAAGACATATCTATTTAAAGCACTGAAGTAGTATTTGAGCCATGGTTTTGAAAACTGGACTGAACCTGGCAGTCGGACTGTTTAACCTGGGAACTGGTTATGGGTCCAGGTCTGGTTTTGGATCCCAAAACTGTCCGACTGGGTTTGGACTGGACAGTCAGATAATTTGACCCAGGAACCGCTGGCCAATGCGGTTCCATTTCTGGTCCGGTTTTCAAAATTATGATATGAGCAATTTGATAATGCCATACCATCAAGTATCAAATGGTCATTGATATGCACTGCTTATCATTTCCAGCTCGCCCGGCCCAACCCATACCTTAGATTTTTTTTATCTCATAAAAAATAGGGAGGTCCCTGTTACCTTTAATTTTTGGGGTTAATTACTTAGATATACCTTACTTTAATATACATTGTGGTTTACAAAACTACTTGAATATACCTTATGAAATGACCTCACTTGACACAAATAGGCGCTGAATTAGTGAAACATTTTGGGTATGCACTGAATCTAATATTTTACTAATATTCCAATTTTGCCCCCATTGTCCTGTTTCTTTAATCTCTCGTTCAGTAGATGTTACTTTGCATCATAACCTCATGGTCTCAGTTGCCTAAAAGCACGTATACAAGATCCAGGCCAACCCCAGGGCCCAATAATCAATTCAAGCAATCAAAATTTTCCTCCACCATGTATTTTTTATTTCTTTTTTTCGCGCTAGGACCCAATATGGTGATGGATCTTTTGACTATTTGAAGGGATTTTCTCCGAGTTGTGATTAAACCTGTTCATGGGCTTTAATTTTTGTCAAAATTTGAATGGGCCCAGTCCAAAACAGTGTAAATTCAAACATAGAGTATGGCCCGATAGGTCTAGTTGGGATCTCCTCCTAGCAAAAACCTATTCCGACATGTTCCAATAGAATCTGTGTTTGTACATCTCATACATGGTGGGTCTTGGCCTTATGGTGAGATATGCACATATTCATCATGATGTTGGAATGACTTTATGTTGGGAGGAGATCTAATTTTTTTTTCTCCCACGAGCTAAACTATATATTACCTCTATCACAAAGAAAACTAATCTTCTTCTCCATAAGTAGGAATGACAATTTTCCCCATAAAACCGGGGGCCCATCCTGAATGGAGCATGTTTTCCTTGATCTTAGACGGGGATGAGGAAAACATCTTTGCCCTTAATTAGGGACGGGATTTGCATATAATTCTTTGTATCTGCCTTGAACCCAGTGGTAAATTATTGAAATGCCCCTATATTTAGTACTACCTTTGGAAATACCCCTAATTGTTTCAAATTTCCAAAACCCTATTATCAATAATCTCATTTATAAAATATCCCTTCATAATCCCATTTCTAAAATACCCCAAATTATGATCTATTTTTAAATGATTGCCTCAGAATGAAAAAAATTCAAGCCCCATCCCTGATTGGGAGGGAGTGCCCTGCCCTGAACCCGCCCCCACCATTGAGGAGAGGGTGGGAACAAGGGGCAAGGAGGAGGAGGGGGTGCCCTGCCCCGAACCTGACCCAATGCGATTCTTATCCATGAATCCGCCATTAATTAACCAGTTCATAGGTATCTCAAGCAACATGCTACAAGATAGCATCAAAGTAGATGTCCTACTCCTACCTTCAAATCAAACCCTAATACATGGAAACAACTCATACAATAGAAGTAGAGCCAAATAACCATAAGGGGGCGTTCTTTTTTCGAATTTTGAGAGAGGAGAAAGTTGGTTATTGGAATTTTGGTTCCCATTTGAAGGGATGAGAGATCCATCGTATGGACGCTCAAATCTTGCGGAATTCTGACATTCGCAAGAAATAGCAGGATGGCACGTGAGCACAGCTTCCTATCAATTCTTTCTCAAAGAACTGATGTCAAGATCGAATCTTGACTTCTCCCACAACTGGAGATCGAACTGACAAACAGGGCGGCAAGAAAGAATTCTACAGGGTTGCTTAATTCTTTCTTCTATGATTTCAGCTCTGAAGAGGATCTGAATATAGGTGTCTTCTAAAGGTTGTCGCCCCCTCCTTTTCTTAACCTAAAAGATCAGCTCCTAATCCAATTAGGACCCGTTTATCCAAATCATATTTGGATCAGCCCTCTCTTTAGGTGATAAGGATAAACCCTTATCTTATCTGCAGATTAGATTAGCTTTCTCATAATCTCATTAAGAGGTTTCTAGATTTGAATCACATTCAGATTTGGACTCTCTGAGTGGATAGGGTCAAGACCCTATCCTATCTGCTAATCCCTCTCAGAATTCGCCCCATAATTAACTAAATAAATAGCCCAGTTCGAAATGGGCTTTAGACCCATTAAGCTTATGTGCTCACTTAACCTTCCTAATTGTATGGCGTGGGACCCAAGCATTGATCTACACATCAGCCACATGGGTTCGGCCCTGCCTTTGTTACAAGGCCTAACCGAATACACTGTTATGGACAGTGCACCCCCTGAAACCCATCAAATGGGCTCTATGGGCCCAACACTTACCCTAAGTGGTCYYTRGGCCAAGCYACCTTGTAACACCYAAGGACTGTGGGCAGATGCAAGATTAGCCCATCAGGTATTA